TAAACTAGGAATCAAGTTCGTGCCTGCTTTTGATTGTATTTAGCGTGTAACTTTAGTTTATTCTGACTGTTTTTCCGAAGTACTTAGCCTTAAAACGACAGGACTTGCCACGGTCTGGAAAAATGAGCAATTCACTTGTTTGGTCATTTTGGTGTTTTGTATTATGGTGGTTTTTGCTTCGGCAATTTGTGGTGCATGTATTAACATATTTACAAGAATAGGGCGTCCACAAAATATGTGGCCACTACAATCCGTTATTACGAAGGCTCTCAATCCGAAAATTGCTTCGATAAACCATTGACTTTTCAGTTAGTGAAAAATAAAACATAAGCACTCCTTCGCGCATAATTTCAGAACATGGTTATCAACCTTTCCCCAAATACGCTTTAGCAGTGCCCTCCTGTTAGGAATACCCTTTCTCCGTCCGTTGAAAAACACGCACTGTAGCCTGCTTTAGTTGCGAGTGACAACGTTTTAAGCTGCTGTGCCGCAAAAGGGAAAGCAAGCCTCACCCGCTTCAGTTCGAACGTGTTTTCAAATGAAACTCCCGTCAGTGCAATGCCATATGCAACACAGACTGATTTGAACAACATTGCTTACTGAGCTGGCTCTTCAATGACCGTGAGATTACACTTATGCACGCATACTCGATGTTCATCAATGAGCTCGCCCACGCAGGGGCGCAGCGAGAGTCCTGGCAATGAGGGGGGAGCGACACATGGTTGACAAAGGTCCTCTCCCTGTGAAAGGTCCCCCCCCCAAAAAAAAAGAAATCATCGGGTCAGTTCACTTGATTTTGAGGGAACGATTTTCTGTGCTGTTGTTCAATATTCATCTTTAACTGAAACAGAGGCAAGAAGCCACCGAAAGATACAATTTTGCCTGTATTTTGAAGTCACTGAATCGAAGGAACCAAGTGTATGATAATTACGTAGAATAAACTGACGGTGCTTTTCATTATGCAATGATGTATTGGACATTTTCTGAGCCAATAGCATTCAGGGGCTGCGCCGAATGTTTTCTGGGCTGTACAGCGTTCTGTGAGTGTAGGTGATATTGAACGTAACTTGTAGATTGAAATTGGATCTACGTTTGAATTGACATGACCAAACCATGCTCGTCTTGGAATGTATAACCTTTGTTCAGAATGAGAGTATACAAATTACATATCAGTTTTGACATTGTGCCCTCGCAAACCTTTGAAAACCCGACGCTCGGCGTTGCAGTCTCCGTATGTCGCGCGACGTTGGATCGCGGCTGACGCAAGGTGGCGGCCAACGGGCAGACGACTGCAATAACGTCTTGAAAGAAGTACCTTGAAACTACTCAGGATGTCGATTTGTGCGCTTAGAATATGGTCCAGTAGCATGTTCCATCTGTGCATTTTTCAATTTACAACGGGAGCAGATTAAAAGAACGGAACGGATTAGCACTACACCGCGAACCTGTGCTGGACTCTGTTGGTGGAACTAAACAAGTAAAGATAAAATCCCTATTCTCGTGCTTCTGTCCCTGGTGAGAGGACGATACCAAAATTGTGAGGTTAAAACGTGAGGAAGCCTTGCCTTATTTTTGAACGGTTCTAAATGATTTTGACAAGCATTCGAGAGTATTATTTCACGACGGCAGTTCTCATCCGGCCGTCGGTGAGCACGCAGACTCAAAAACGTTTGTGTAATTTGTTTGGCAAGCTGGCTCTGAACAAGGATGGACCGACTCTTTGGTGTTCGCCTTTTTCATTTTGTACCTCATTTTGTTCCGTCCCATTGGGCTCTACGGAAACCCCTTACCTTTTCCGGACAAGGGGCCTAATGGATTTGAACAATGGGTGACACATTCTATTTCCGGTCAGAGACTTAAGGGCCATTCCACTGCAGCGCGGGGTGCCCGCCGGCTGTAATCCCGGCAGTACAGGGGCGGTGTCCCCTGGCCGATACGGAAGTCCCCAGAGGGACTAATCATACATTGGTCGTCTGCCTGACGCCGGAGGCCTGCTCACGTGGGCATTGGACCCCGAATTGGTTGCAAGAGTTCTGATTTACCCAAACGAAAGCTTTTCACCGCAGGTGGTCAAATAACTGGCACAGAGACTCCAGTTTGACAGCCCTTGCTTTAAATGGCGTTGAGGGCCTCGCTTGGTACTGGGACTCTGACTGACCAGGGCCTTTCCATTGGCTTATTGGGTACACTCATTATGAGTCATAATATCTCTCTTCATTGCCAGAGGGTCTCGACCAACGCAACAGACCCTCTGGCATTCGGGGTCCCGTTCCTGTTCCTATTCAGCAAACGTTTATCTGGCCGACTCAGGGCCCCTTACCGGCACAGAAACCTCTGTTCGGCACTGTGGGCCCCTGAACGACTCATAGACGCTCATTGCTTCAAAGGTCTCAAACACCCGACCAATGCTAATCGCGGGTCGCGGCCTTGTCCCTGCTTGGGAAATGGATTCCTAGGGCTCAGGCCGACACAGAGCCGACTGTTTGGCGTCGGTGATATCTGCCCCAAATAGAGACGCACCGCTCTTCAATGCGTCATTGTTTGATTATGTCATTGTACCTTGCACAGCATTGGTTGAGACGTAATATCCAGATCCAACGGCCTCAAAAATGATTGAGACTGTTACATTTGGAAGTCGTGCTCACGAACCCCATGCGTGAACGACTCGACAATTATATTTTTATTCGCCTTGGTCGCCTCATGGGTAATAGAATGTCAGAATTTTAACGACGTTACTGTGGCGTAATGGATACCTGGGTAACCTTGAGATATTCTTCCTTAAAAGATCTGTGCATCTTTGCGGGCGTGTAGCTCAGAAACTAGAGGGGTTAAGGCCCTAAGAAGGGCAGGGCTGTGAACTGCACCAAATGCTCCTCAAGATGGCCATTTCAGTTCAGAACCTCGCACAGCTGTGGAACACTCCGCTTTGATATGACTTGCAGAAAGGCCTCCGTCCCCTCCAATCAAACATTTGATCGTCGGTCTCGAGAGGCTTTTCGGGCTTGTCAGCAGGGCCCTCATACACTGCCCAGGTAGAATCTGGATTCCTTGCAAATACAGCACCCTTGTGAGGCGGTGTGGTGCGCTGACCGACAAAGGGGCCCTCGTTGACTCAGGAGCCCAGACCAATGTAAATGGCGGGCGCCGGCCTGGTCTCTGCTGGGAAATGCCTCTCAGTCCCAGACCTGACGTTAGAGTTACCTGGTGGCGAGTCCATCGCGTGATACGGTCGTTAAGCCTTCACCTCAGTGGCGTGTTTCGCCAAATAGGATTTGAGGTGGGCGAGGGGCTGAGCGGGGAAAGCCCGGTCCTTAATTCACTTAAAATAGATTTCCCCCTGCTTGATATGTTTTCCCACTCTGTCTCGGCGTAAGATGTTGTCGTCGGGCATCGTAGTCATTTTGTTTGGCATCTATCATCGAAACCATGTTTCGGTAATTTACATAGGGTCGATGTTTTGTTGCTTCAGACGCTGTTAAACTAAGTGACTAGGAGAAAGGAGTGCAAGGTGATGTGTGCGACTATTACAGGCTGCCTTGTAAATATTCGGCTGGTAGCTGCAAGGACGGGTGCTGGTTACAGCGCAGCACTCACGTTTGGCATGTTCGACACGGGTAGTGTTGTTTTGGTGGTCACTGTTGGACGATTGCCGCTGTTCGTTTAGCCGGCTGGTGTCGATTGTCAGGTTTTAAGTGTAACTGTTCCTTTAAGTGTTTACATAGTGAAGGCCGGTGCATTTCAAGGGTTCCTTCGAACGTAGACGGCTAATAAGTTGGTAACATTTCTTGGGCGCTAATATTTTACTGTCATGTTTCACTTTCCGATAAGAGATCGTAGCAAAATAAGGCAACTTGCTGCAGTCCGTAGAAGCCGAAACACCGCTGCACAATGCCAAAACACTCAGAGAACAGCACAGTGCTTAGCCAGAATCAGTGGGACATATGAATCTTCTAATAAAAGAAACATTCAGCATGCAGGAAGAGCAGAGATACTCAAGTAAACATAGTACAAACGTGAGGCGTTTTGAGTGTAAATGGCTTAGACATCTGCACTCAACTGAACATGCCATCTTAGTTTACACTTTATTTTTTTCTTTTTTACCCGTGAAACGATTAGTAGAAACCTCGTTTCAAATCGATATAATTTTGAGCTCCCATTTTTGGCCTATTAGCACTTAGGGTCCACACGGTTATGGGCCAAAACCACCGTCGGGGGGGGGCAATTGGACATTGGGGAGCGGGGGGGGGGGGCAATGACCCAACCAAAAGAATACAACTCGACACCCGTGTATGCCCCCGGTTCTTGCAGGCGGGGGATACCCAATGCAACAGCGCTATTCTCCGTGCAGCGTGACGCATACACAGGCAGCTGGCATGTGGGTGCGACTGCGGACGGACCACCAAGCGGGGTGGTCGGTCCGCGGCGGAAACCTGGGGCTCTTCCGAGTACCGGCGGCGGGCGCCAGTACCGCAGCAGAGATGCTGCTGGTGGCGGGTGGGAAGGGTGTTATTTTCTATCGTTGGCCAGCGGTGGAAATGCGCCCAGACGTGAGTGTCGGGACAGCATGCTGTTAGTGTACGTAAGCAGAGAGATGTACGTCAGGGAAGAAATCAGTTAGACCTGCAAGGGCTGCGGGACTATAGTCTTAGCGTAGATAAAAGGCAAAAGTCTTCTAGTGGCCACGTGCTGTTTCATCCACAATTCTGTTCCGAGTAAATCACCCAAATGACCTTGTGGTTCAATCGCTTCGCAATAAGACGGCAATCTGCTCATTATGTTATGAAAGATGAGCCAGTTTGGTACAACCAGCGCGACGCTTAGCCGCCGCATGTTACGAGGGAAATGCCGTTTTGTTAGGAAATTCGATCTCACGCTGATCCCATTCCCCTCACCCACGTGGCAACAGAATTAATCACCACTGCGTAGTAAATCCAACTGTATTTCTTAACCGAAGGGCCTCTCGCCCACTCCGGTCCCCTGACCCCCCGCCTTGCCGACAGATCGTTCGGAGCACCGTGATGGCGCTGGTGGCGGCGCTGGCCGGCGGCGCGGCGTACCTGCTCCAGCGCGGCGATCTGTGGCGCACTGCTGCCGACACCGTGCACGCGCAGGCGCGGCAGGCGCTGGCCGGGCTCGGCCTGTGAGCGGCGCATGCGCAGACTCCGAACGCTAGAAGACGGGCGGAGCACGAACAACGCGTCCAGGGGAGGGACGACGTTTCCGGTGGGGAAACTGGCGGACAGGACTCTCATGAAAAGATGTGGGGCTGCTGGCAGGTGACCTCACGCATCTGATGCCCGCCGACGGGTGTGCGGTGGCGGCGGAACATGAGGTATTTGCCGGGCCTGTCCGTGACGTATCCCCGAAACAGCAACTCCGGTGCCGCGGGGCGGAGCCGCCTGTGACCTTGTGTGAGATGACCGGTGATCCGTTCATGCATTCTGTCCCAGTTTTTTCGCCCTCAATAGTATGACGCCTTTATGAAAGGCCATTCATCGAATACCCCACTCGAAGCACGCAGACGCCCGCTGCACCGTCGGGATCTCGGCGCCGTCCGGACAGCTGGCTCGGGCCTGCTCGCACGGATTGACCTCGCGTGCGAGCAGCTGCAGTAGACACCCCACTACGGAGCACTTGTTCAGCCATGTGTTCAGCCAGGGCGTGACTTTGTACCGCACCAGCAAGGACGTACAGACGGGCCTGCGATCCTGGCCCCACACCACCGCGCGTGCGGACTTTGCGTTGTGGGGAGACGATCGGCCCTAAGTGGAAAAGGGGCGGCATATCTGCGCTAGGACGACGCAGGACCGGCCTAGTGCCCACATCCCTCCACGGCTGTCCGCACCGCCCGCTGACGCGCTCTGAAGCCCTCGACTCCGTGCAACGCCGTCCGAGAAACAGTTTCAGCCGCCCGGGACGCGGGTCACCGGTCTCTCTCCCGCAAACGTCGCCGCTGACGCGTGTGCCGCCGGCCGTCACCGCGTCCGCCTGTCCCACGACTCGCTGGGGCTGTTCCTCCCCGAAGGACGATTCGGCGCGCCCTCCCGAGCGAGGTCATCGCGTGTTTACCCACAGTATCAGCTGCAGGTTGCTGCTGCGGTCTCCTGTTAGAATATGTGCGACCCTGAATACAGTCATAGTGCTAACAGTCGGAATTTGTCGTATCCAGGCGTGTGAGAGCTTAGGCCAAGGCCTTCCAGATGCCGTATGCTTGTCGTCTCGGCTTACTCCGTGACTTGTTCGACAACGTCGGCACGTGCAAATGAAAAAAAAAACAGGCCATCAGCCCTAATAACGCCTCCTTGTCCCGCGGACAGTGCGCAGCTAGAAAACACAACCGTCATGCTGCAGTTCAATTCATACGACTGTATATTTGCACGCACAATACACTAACGGAGCACCGTGGGAGCGGACTCGCTCCAGGCAACTGATGAGTCCCAACCTCAGATTCCCTTGCAGGGCGTAAACACAGGTACAAATACGACAGCGTAACTTCGGCCGATGGATCAATGGTAAACGAATATAACAGAGTCGAACAGGGTGACGAACACTCCCCGCGCGTGGCGGGGCGCCAGAGCGGCCTAGCCCGCCTCCGCGGCTGATAACGCCACAACAACGCGCCGTCGCAGCCGCGGCTACGAGGGGTGCCCATGCGGCCCGGATGATGATGATGATGAAGGCGATGCTGATGGTAACGATAACGCCACGGAGGCGGCGGGCGAGGGCAGCGATGCCGCCACCACGGCCGAGGACACGTCGACCGGCTTCTGGTGCACGGCGTGACCTGCAGCGGAGGCGCCGCCGTGCTCAGTCTGGCGCTTTCTGGAGTCGGGCGCCAGCGGCGTGGGGCCGAACATGCCCAGAACAGCGTTCCGCACACCTCTCCCACAAGAGCGGCAAAACGAGCCTATCTTCGCCAGGCGGGTCATCAAGCGTGCTCTGACGGCCACCTCGCAGACAATGCACCAGTCTGGCAGTCGGAGATCACGCCACTCCTGCCGCACCGCGCCGGCCCGGCGAGGCCGGCCGGCGGCCGGGCTCCATCATCCACTTCTGCACACTTCTGTTACTACTGCATTACTAGGTACTACCGCACACCGCCAGTACTGCGCTCGCCGTCCGGCGGCCGCTCGCCTCTCACCTCGGGCCGGCAGCGGGCTGGCCGGGTGCGGCAGCTGGACCAGCTTGTAGCCCTGCAGGCCCTTGAGGCCGGGCAGCAGCACGGGCTGGTGGGCGGCGGAGCTGAGCACCACCGTCCGGCCGGCGGTCACCGGGCGGACGGCCGCCACCCCGCCAGACTGCGGGTCAGGTCACACACGTCACGCAGGTCGCGACGCATGGCCCGACGGCGGCGGCTGTCGAGTTACGGATCACCGCACGTACGTCCGTGCGCCTTAGTACGAGTCACACAGAGGTCAAGTGAGGGTCAAAGGTCAGATTTTAGACACGGGCTGCGGGTTGAGCACGAAGATTCTTCGCTCATTCGATGTCATACACATGTCTGTAGCGCCGGCGACTGGCATCACACAAACTCGGAGCGGCGGTTGAGACGCCACGCCTCACACAAAATCACAGCAGCGGCAATGGGACCACCGCGGCCGGCGCCGACCCCGGCTAAGCCGAGAAGACTGCGCCAGCCAAGCTCATGGTGAGCGTCGCATGCCGCATTCTCGCCACGCGCCGTATCGCCTTAAGAGTACCAGACCTTCGCTGAAGGTCTGCCAGCGCCGCCACAATACAAAAAATAAGTTCTTGCGGATCTGAGCAGAGCTGACCTGACCATGCTTGATTACAAGTAAAAATTGGTTAAAAGCTACGCTGGCCTCAATCCGTCACTTACTTCGACTTTGTTAGCCTTGAAGACAGCACATCAGTAAGCTGACGAAGGCGTACTAGTAGGGACTTTGTGATGAGATTAGCTGGGCTTCACGCAGTATTTTTAATAACCGTAGCACAACTCCCACAGCTGTACCAAACGTCTCCACACCCCGTACACAAACGGACAGAACAGAGCCAGCCTCGTAAGCAGGACCAGCCCACCCTGCGCCACGCAGCCAGGACAGGGTGAGCCCGTGGGCCCGTGGGATGGGTCCGTGGAGCGCGGTCCGTCAGGGGCCCCGTCCGCGGCCCTGGGCGCGGGCGCGGGTCCTCCCTCGGCGCGCGCGCGTCCCGCGTGCTCACCGTGAGCTGCAGGTGGCCAGCGGCCGAGGAGAGCGTCGCCGCCGCTGCCGTCAGCCGGCTGGGCGTGTGCACGGCCGGGCCCGGGTGGCTGCTCTGGATCAACACCTGCGGCCGAGCGGCGCCGGTCACGCGACGGCCGCGCACACCACCTGGCGGAGGTAGCCGGCCGGGGGCCAGCCGGGGCCGCCGCACCGCGCACGCCGGTCACACGCCCCGGCCGGGCGTCGCCGCCCGCCCGCCCCTCGACGGAGCCGCTCGACGGTGTCAGCGGACCACTATCCGCCAGCGACGGCCGGCCGCCGCACAGTCAGCAGAGGTCTGGAGAGTCGCGGCGAGAGATCGCCGGCACCGTCCAGCCGTCCGCCGCCACCACTCCCACGCGCCGAGCTCAGCCCAGCTGATCGCACTCGCCGGCGAGGCGCCGCTCCCCGGCGGTGCGCCGACTGACCTGCGGCTGCTGCTGGGCGGGCTTGGCGGCCGGGCGCGCGGCGATCAGCACCTGCTTGCCACCGATCTGGGCGAGCGTGAGCGCGCCGCCGGCCGGGCCGGGCGCGCCCTGCTGCTGCAGCAGCCGGCTCAGCTGCGACACCGGGATCGTGATGTGCTTCAGCTGCTGACCGCCGGCCGGCGGCGCCGCCGCCGCTGCCGCCGCCGCCGTCGGAGCGGCGCCCGCCGCCACCAGACGCGGCGCCGACGCCGAGGACGCCACCTGTCGGCCGCGCGGCGGGCGTGTCACGCGCGGGCGGCGGTACCCGGCCCACTCCACGACAATGCCGGACGGCCAGCCCCAGCCGCGGGGTCTCGAGAACACGCGGGGTAACGCGACGCAGGCGAAACACGCGTCGCTCGCCGGCTGCCTGTGCCCTCCCGAGCGCGTTGGGGCGTGACGCACATAGCGGTCTGGATCGCTTCTGCAGCGACGGGCCCGTCTGCAGACGGCACACACTGCTCCGACTGCACGGTCGACACGGCCCAGTAGAGCGGCCGGCGCACTTTGTCCACCTCAGCCGCCCCTCAGTGAGCGGGAGCGAGACGGTGCTGGTGCGCCGGGTTCATCATCTCTGCACCGTATCTCACTGGCCATGCCCGTGACGAGCACAACATGAAGGCCGGTCGGGCAGGTCGGGGCTACAAAGTCCAGCAGCGAGCGGCGCGCGTCCACGAGCTATGAGTCCCGACCCGAGCTTGTTCTCTCCAACTGATGTTCCGCGCGCGTCAACGTGCAATGTGTGCCCGACAGTTCCATCAGTCCGCAAACTGAAGCGTACCATAATCCGCTTCGCTCTTTTCGCGACACATGCGGCTGCTCCCATCACTAGCGTGGCAGCCTGACCACGCCGGCTGACCGCGGCACGCTGCAGGACGCAGCGGCCGTCGGCAGCTGACTGACCTGCACCAGATGGGCGGCGGAGACGGCCGGCCGGCTGACGACGGGCCGCGCCTGGCCCGGCGCCGGCTCCGGCTCGCCGGCGGCGGCGGCCGCCACCACCAGCGGCGCGGCGCGGCGCGGTCCGGCCGGCGCCGGCGCCGCCGCCGGCCGCGGCGCGCCCACGATCAGCGAGGGTGCGGCGCCCATCGGACGCGGCCGCGCCGCCAGCAGCGGCCGAGGGGGCGCCACCAGCACCGAGGGCGCACCGGCCGCCGGCCGAGCTGCCGCCGCCGGCAGCGGGCGCAACTCCGACTTGACCGCCTGCCGGGCAGAGGCGGCGGTCAGACAGGGGGTATTCGGGCGCATCGACCGCTCCGCCACTTAGGCGAGGGGATCTTACGGCGCGCCGACATCGGAGGTCACATCACCTTACGGCAGCCACTTAGCAACACCCAGTCGGCGGCAGACGTTCGAAGCAGAGCCCGATGGCTGACAGAGACGAGCCGACATCGGGATCACCAGGCCAGACGGTGACGCCGCCCGCTCCACCGACGCCTGACGCGCTGCGTCACTAGGCACGGAGACGCGCCATGAGCGGGCGCAGCGGCCGGCTCTGGCGCCCGCGCACCTGCGGCTGGTTGACGATGGGGATCAGCTTGCCGTTGGCCAGCAGCGCCAGCTGGGGCGCGGCGCCGGGCGTCTTGGGCGGGATGTGTACGATGGCGTGCTGGTTCTTCACCACCTTCACCGACTGGACGGCGGCCGCAGCTGGAGGCGCAGGCACACGAGTTGTGGGACGGTGGGGCTGACCGGGATATCAGACGGGCACGGATTCTGGCGACACGGCCGTTCGCGCTGATTTTCTCTGCGCCCGCCGCTAGCAGGGCTCGGTCGGGCCGGCAGGGCCGGTAGAGCTAGGTCGGAGGCCACAGAGCATCACGGGGGAGACTTCAGCATCCGTGAAGTAACAGTGAGCCTGACCGAGACAGCCACGTGTGGCCGCCCGCCACGCCAGTGACGACGCACCGCACATCACACCGGGCAGCGACTGACCCAGGGCCTGTAGCTGACCTTGCTGCGCTGGCGAGGCGGGCGCGGGCGCCGGAGCAGCCGCCGACGTCACTCCCACGGTCCGCGGCACCACCAGGTGCGGGCTGGCCGACACAGCCGCCGTCTGAGGACACGGCACACCGGCACGTCAGCGCGGCGGCGCGAGGCGGCGCACGACCCGCGCCGGTCATGACGCCACCGCGCCGCCCCGCATACCTTGTGCGCAGAGCAGACGAAGGCGACAATCAGCGGCGCGCACGACGCGGCGAGATGCCGGCAGCACTGAACACACCACCCACACCGACCACACGCATCACAGAGCCCGACCTCGGCCCCACTGGGCCGGCCTCCGCCGCAGCCACGTCGCGTCTGGCGGTACACGGTGCGCCGGGCGCCCGCGCCGCGGGCCTCACCGCGAGCGTGGCGGGCAGGGTGCGCGCAGGCTGGGCGCCGACGGGCGCGGCCGTCGGCAGGATGCTCTGCACGGCCAGCTCCGTCTGCGTCAGCGAGGCGGCCGGCTCCTGCGCAGGCACGCACGGCACGCGTCAGCCATATGGCACCAACGGCACGCAGCCCTGGCGTCTGGCCGTGTGCAGGGGCGGATCTAGCCTGGAGTTTTTTTTTTTGGGGGGGGGGGGGGGCAACCGTTCGTCGCCAGCTGCCTGGTGTGGGATCCGAGGTCCAATGCATGGTGCGTGGTGCTTTTCGCGAGTACCTAGTAGGGACACCATTCAAAAACGAAAAAAACACCGAAATGTTCTTGAATCTTGAACAGAAGTTAAAACAAAACAGTTTAAAACAGTCAAAGTTAAAACAGATGGCAAGTAGACGAAACTTGTATGGAGTTCTGACAATGTTTTTTTTTGGGGGGGAGGGGGCCAAAGCATACTCTCAGAGGTTTTGGGGGCCATGACCCCGTGCCCCCCTCCCCCGCCCCCCAGGATCCGCCTATGGCCATGAATGGTGGTTCGCAGGCACGTTGGCGGCCAGGGCCGTCGCGTGCAGACCGGCGTCGGTAACAGGGCGGGTGCCACGGCGGGACGGCAGCACAGGCACGCATGATCGGGAGCTAGGTGGAACGAGACGGCAAAACGGACTTCAATCCCGGTCCGAGACCGTCCGGTCTACGGCGCACCGACAGGAGTAGCTGCAATCAGCCGTCACACCACAGATCGTTCGCTGTTCACATCAAGCCAACACGCTGCACCGACCTGCGCCGCTGCCGGCTGAGGCAGCGCAGGCGGCGGAGGCGGCGGTGGAGGCGGAGGCGGTGGTGGCGGCGGCGGAGGCGGGGGCGGGGGCGGCGGCGGCGGGGCGGTGTACGCCGGCCGGCTGGCGGTCGGCGGCGCCGGGACAGCGCGCGGCTTCAGCAGCGACACGCCGGCGGGCGCGGCCGACCGCGCGGGCGCCGCCACCGTCGGCGTCCGCTTGACGGTGGTGCGCCGCCGCGGGCTGCTCAGCTGCCGCTGCCGGTCGATGGCCTCTGCCGACGGCGCGGGCCGGCGTCAGAGGGCGGACACGCCGACACCCACATCGAGGACACTGCGGGCGTCAGGCGGCCACGTGATCACGCGCTCAATGCTGTCGGTACGGTCGTGCCGGTTTAGTTCGGGCAGCACTCGCGCGCAGCCCCCGCATCAAGATGGGTCTGTGCGACATTCAGTACGTACCAAAATCGGCCTCCGACCGGTGCCTGTGCAGGTAGAGCCACAGTTTTCGATGCGAATCATACCTGGAAAAGCCAGACATTACTTACACGTCATATGGGGCTTAGGACAAGATGCCATTCCTAGGTGATGTTGCCTAGTTAAAGAGCATTCGAACACATAAAAGACATGCATAGCTAAAAACGACCACACAAGCCTTAGGTATTCAACGGGAGTTCTCACCACCCAACGCTTTGCCGCACAGCGTGATCTGACGTACATGTCCCGACTACCATAAACCGTTCTTCACCACCCTCACATCATGGAACAAGGACACGAGTCATTGTCCCCACCCAAGTAACCAGACAAATACAATGACCGACCATCGCACTGTCGTCTCACACGGCGCTCCGCCGCGATAGCGACTGACCTCCTCTCGCCCCCCTCCTCCCCTGCCGGCCGGCCGTTAGACCCCAACTCACCCGACGCAGGCGTCTGCCTCGCTCCCGCCCGCCGGCAGCTGGACCCTCGCTCACTTGACGCAGGGGTCGGCCTCCCCCTCTCCCGCCGGCAGCTGGACCCTCACTCACCTGACGCAGGGGTCCGCCTCCCCCTCTCCCGCCGGCAGCTGGGACCCTCACTCACCTGACGCAGGGGTCCGCCTCCCCCTCTCCCGCCGGCAGCTGGGCCCTCACTCACCTGACGCAGGGGTCGGCCTCCCCCTCTCCCGCCGGCAGCTGGGCCCTCACTCACCTGACGCAGGGGTCGGCCTCCCCCTCTCCCGCCGGCAGCTGGGCCCTCACTCACCTGACGCAGGGGTCGGCCTCGCCGTGCAGCCGGTCCAGGGCCGAGCTGACGGCGCCGGTCATCTGCGCCTCGGCGCCGGCCGCCAGGAAGCCCGAGTCACGCACCAGCTCGCACACGTCGCCGCGCGAGCCCTGGCCGTTGGGCAGGCGCGCCACGGCGTCGCGCACCAGCGTCAGGATGGTGACGCAGGCCGGCCGGTCGGCGGCCAGCAGGGCGTGGCCGCGGGCGGCGCGCGCGTCCCGCCCGGCGCCGCCCTTCACCGGGCCCACCACCGACTGGTAGCCGTGCAGGCGGTAGGTGAAAGCGCGCCGCGGCGTCTGGTACCGCAGCCGCTCCTGCGTCGCCGCGCGGGCCGAACACGTCACGTTAGGAGGGGGCGTTTGCGAGACGACTCCGGCTGGCCCGTGTTTTACTGAGGTGCGTCGGTGAGTGCTCCTACAACATGCTCAGGAAACACGCAGCCCCCGCTCGCACAACTGATTCACGTATAAAAGTTTGAACGTTTGGGCAGGAGTTGGCAGAAAACTGGCGTGAGAAACACAGCTGTTTTATCATTTTTTCCGCACACCTGAATATTTCACAAAATGCCGCCATATTATGCCTATAAGACATGTTTCGAACAATATTATAAATTTGATGAAAATGTCCAAAGCTAACCACATTCTGACTGACTACTCAGACACAACAATACACACATCAGGACTATGCGCTTCACATTTCTAATGGAAATTATGTTCCAGAACTCCTCAGGCCCCAGAACATTCAAAACATGTGCATGCTTTTGATACTTATACTTCATACACCCGAGTGACATTTCGCCGGCCAGACCAACTATAGCCACAGCACCACATATAACAACACCTGCGCGGCTGCGGCTGGCGTGGCTACCCTGGCCCAGCCATACCCACCTGTCTCCTGTACTCGTCCTTCTCCGCGGGCAGGCTGGGCTGCACCACCCACGTGGTGGGGTGCAGCGGCGGCGGCACGGGGCCCGTCGTGTCCACCGCCGGCGGCTCCGGCTTGATGATTGTGTCCCTGCGACGGCGCAAGGTCAGGTGCCATACGGACGGCACGGTCGCCACCGTCGCCACGAGGATGGCGACTCCGTGCACAACGCAACGGCTCCCCACGGGAACTTACTGTGCATCTTGACTATAAATAAAAATACTACGGCAAAGAAGGCATTAGGGTTCAGCACGCCACGGCGAACGCTGTATTTGGTCATGGGGCAAAACGACGGCAAACGTTGGGCACGACCAACAAACGGAACGGAACGCAAGCCAAGCATAAATAATTAGATGCATACAATCCGAGAGCTGACAAAAGCCAACATGATAGACGGACACGATTCGGTGCTGGAGCGCCGGCGCCGGCGGACGCCACACTGACTTCCTCTGTATCCAGTAGGCGCAGAGCGACTCCAGATGGATGTCGGAGTCCCGGCCGGCGCCGATCCACTGGTACACGCCCGCCTCCCGGCTGTGGTCCAGGAACGGCACCAAGTTGATCTGCGACTGCAGCTCTGCCAACGAGTGGCCGGAGCGTAGACGTCAGGCTCTAGCGGCCACGCCGGGCAGGAGGAAGACACAGGTGAGGCAGAACGTGATGCGTATAGAGTGGAGCGGGTGGGCGCCGCGATCTGACGCACAGCACCGCCAGGTTCCTGACGTCCTCCAGATTGTGGCTGGGACTATGTGGGGGTGGCACGATCCAGCCTGAATCAAGAGCTGATCTCACTTCAGCGAACAGCCAGCCTCGGGATCAAAGTCCGCTCTGTGATGGTCGTCGACTCCTAAGCCACATCCCACGTCCCGCCGGTCAGGCGGTGCGCCGCAGGCCACGCAGCCCGAGCCAGCTCCCCTGAGAGGGGTGGCGCCTCTCCCCAACCACGGCTGAAGTCGCCCGAGGGGCAGAGATAGGCCTCTCCATCTAGCGGCAGAGTCTTCCCCTCTGCCCATGAGCACGACTTACCATCTCCCACCCTCCCCCCCCCCCCCCCCCCCTCCCCCTCTCCCGATCGGCGACTCACTCTCCCCGAGGGAGACTCTCGTCGCTCTGCCAGACCGGGGCGCACTGTTTCTGCTAACTTCTCGCCTCCCCGAGGGCACCTCATAACTTCCCCAAGCGGTTCCGTCTTCCCAAGGAAAGAAACCTCCCCCCCCCCCCCATATCACACGACCGGAGCCTCCTGTCCAGGGAGGAGAGAACAGCCTTCTGCCTGGGGCGTGGCGCCTCACCTCGAACCTCGCCGGAGAGGAAGGCCAGCGCCGAGGCGAGCGCGTCCACCCAGCTGGGCTCGCGCTGGTACCAGTCGTTCAGCGGCGATATGGGCGACGCCTGCCAGCTGCGCACGGCGCCGTACACATCGCGCTCGGCCAGCCGGTCGTCCGGGTCCGAGCAGAACACGTCGCGCAGCAGCGAGAAGAAGCTGGCGTGCGTCTGCTGACCGAGCGCCGCCGCCTGCCAGCCGGCCGCCGCCGCCGCCGCCGCCGCCGCCGCCGCCGGAGCGGGCGGAGGTGGCGGCGGCGGCGGCGGCGGCGGCGGACTGGCGCGCGGCTCCGATTTGATGGCGGGCGGCGGCTCCGGTTCCGAGTCCGAGTCGGTGGAGCGGGACGGCGGCGAGCGCTTCAGCAGGCTCTGCAGCTCGAGGCGCTGGCGGTCGCGAGCGCCGGCGCCGGCCGGCGGCACCTGGCGCACCACAGGGGCGTGAGCACGGGAGACCAGACAGCGCACCGCCGCGACAGGCGTGCCTCGCTCAGGTGGTAAGCATTGGGAGGGGCGGCACCCATTGACACATTTCTGATCACAAGACCTGCGGGCGCCTGTGCGCACGTTGCACGTTGTGTGCACGTACGCACGCACGCTCCGTGCGCGCAAGCAAGGGACGCAGCACGAAACCAATGCCGAACCAGCCCCCAGGCGAATTTTCCCCGCCATCACACCGCCGCCGTCGCCGCGCCCCACCGCTGCCACTGACCTGTCCGCGGGCGCGCCGGCGCCGGTGACGCGCCAGCAGCTGGGCGAAGCGCGCCTCCGACACCTGGTACGGGTTGGCCTCGGCCGAGGCGTGGTCGCCCAGGTGCAGGCCGCGCTGCGCCTGCCGACTGCCGGTGGCCGCCACCAGCACGTGCTCGCTGCCCAGCGACGCCTCCAGCTTGGCTAGGTGGCGCTGCTGCTTGCGCGTGAGTGCTGCCGGAGGACCCTCTGCGGGTGGCGGGGAGGGGGAACGGCGGACGTCAGCGGCAGGCGGAGGACATCACCCGCTCTGTCGCAGCGGGACACGGCGCCATTGGTGGGCCACTGAGCGCTACCGGCCGACGGACGGCGCTGTGGTCAGGGCTGCCTCCCAGCAAGGTGGACAGGATCAAATTATTTGATTTGATGTTTGTTTTCCATTATGGGCCTGAAGCAGTGCATGATGAGTGGATTGGGGATGTAAGCAGAACGCTTAAATCTGAGCGCTTCTCTCAACAATAACAAGATACGGTCATCGCCGCCAGGGAACCCACGACCCACCGCCCACTCGTCCGATCTGTAAGCCGGCACGGGCCAAGCGCCCGCCGCCACTCCAGTCTACACATATAGCCGTCTCGGGCCGGCGACGGACGCCCGGCCCGGCAACGCCACCCAGTGGCCCGTCTGCTGCCCGCGCCCGCTGGAAGTTTTTACGCGAATCGTTTGGGAACCACTGGAAAAGAAATGTTTGGAAAGTTTTTGCTATCTGCTGGCCATTGCGATCTTGTAAACCGCTACCTCTGAGATAGATACTTTGGTGCTCGTTGCGAGTGAGCTCCGAAAAGTTTGGAATGATACGATCTGTTTTACATAGCAATCAAATTTGGATTTCATGATAACGAGGACAGTTTAATACAAAGTGTTTAGGGTTTTCATATGGGTAGCCACACGAGCAAGAGGGACTAGGTGTAGTTGGATTTTGAATTTCGAACAGGTAGGCATTAAGGTCTGACATTCCCAATCTCAGCCTAGTATTTGGAATGCTACCATGCCTGGATCCAAAGCTATGACACACCGGAGGTGCGGCCACACCGCAGCGCTAGTATATTTCCCGTTGGAAGGAACGAGACGACTGGAGGGATGACACCTCGAGCGGGAGCTGGTTCCATCTTCTCGTAGTTGATGGAATGTAGGATTTTTAGTATGTTAAAGTTCTGTTTGGTGATGATGTGGGTGTCATTGCATATTGGACGTCCTGTTGCAAGTACTCGTGTGTCAGGTAGAAGTGCAGTGACGTTTGTGGGCCGTAGATGTTGATTGAGGGTGTGGAACAGCGTCAGTTTGTGTACGTTCCTTCGTGGCTTGAGAGTGTTCCATCCTAAATCGTCAAACAGTGCACGAGTGTGTGTTCTGTTGAGTGCATCGGTGGTTAGTCTTGCTGCACTGTACTGTAATCTGTCAAGTCTAAGGGAGTCACTGGTTGTCAAAAATCCGTCGTATACTACGTCACAATAATCAAACAAGGGAAGAATGTAAGTCGTATATATGCCGTTGAGAATACGCCGAGGCGGAAGTCGCGATAGTGGGTAGAGAGGCCCAAAGGCTCTACTGATTTTGGAGATGGTGTCATTACCGTGCTGATGAAAGTGAAAATCAGTAGATATCGTCAGGCCAAGGTGTTTGTGGCTTGTGACGGAAGGAATTAGTTCGCCATCAAATGCCAGTTGCGGAGTGTTACGTGTGTTTCTGTTGGTGAATGTTTGTTGAATTGCTTTCCTGGCGTTGAACGTGATGAGCCAGTCTTTGCCGAACTCTTGCATCATATGTAAATCGTGTTTGAAGTGCCGCTTGTACGATAACTGGGTCGTGTGAGTAAGCTGTGTACAGTGTAGTGTCATCGGCAAAGAACAATACGTCATTGTCAGTTTTGTCGGCCAGGCCGTTCAGATATATAAACGCAAGGACAGGCCCCAGAACAGACCCCTGCGGGCATCCAGCATGTATGGTCCAAGGCGTGCTGAAACTGTTGCCTACCTTAACTATCTACTTACGGTCTGAGAGATACGATTCTGGCAAATTTGGGAGAGTTCCTGACAAACTACAATAGTTCTTGCACTTGAGTAGGAGGCCCTCATGCCATATCTTGTCAGAATATTTACTAATGTCCAAGTAAATGGCTGTAAAGTCATTGCCTCGGTCCAAAGCTGTATAAAGATTGTTAATTAAATATACCAGCTGAATTTATGTGCTACGTTTTGGACGGTATCAACTTTGTTTCTCAGAGAGCAGCCCATTCTCAATTGGTGTTGATAGATACCTTTAAAGATAATTCTTTCAAAAATTTCGACACACAAGGAAGTAAACTGATTGGTCTGTAGTTAGCAGGACCCGAGCTTGACCCCTTGTTTTTGAAAATGGGATGAACATTTGCTTCTTTCCCGGTGGAAGGGAAAAATACCTTGGCTTAGTGACATGTTGAACAGTTTAGTGAGTGGAGTCTTTACCAACATGGCAGTCATTTGTGATATTTTCGCTGAGAGATTGTCAGAACCGCATGCTTTGTTTGGACCGAGAGTTGAGTGTGCTCAGTACTTCATCCTCTGTAATGTTTATGCTGTCGAACGTGGGTGGTGGATCCACAAGCGCGGTCTCGGGGACAGGAAGCTCGTCAGTTGCGAGTTGTGACTGTCTGGCAAGAAAGTCACCTAGTAGGTTAGCTTTATCTAAGTCAATAGTGTTGAATGGGGTCGATAGGGTTGAATCATGTCCTATGAGTGGTGGCACTGTCTCAGCTCGTGTGCGTCCTATCATTTGTTTAAAATATGGTGGTACTTGTGTGGGTTTTGCTTTGCATGCAAGTTGTTTACTTGATGTTGCAAGTGGTTGTTAAGTGTTCTGTCCATGCATGTGGCAAAATTTCTTTGTTGTCGCCAACGGTCCCAGTGGTCACCAGTCATACGCCTCTGAGCAAGTCTGAAAAGTCTGTCTCTTCTCCTCATCTCTCTCCCTAGCGCAGCATTGACCCAAGGTTTGTCACAGTTTCTCATCCTGATTATCTTTGCTTGAACGTCTCCACCTATCGGACACAGCAGTCGCACGGCGGGTCCTCACAAGAGCAGCTCGTCGCTGGACAAGGCGACGGCCGGCGCGTGCGTGCGTGCGTGCGTGCGTGCGTGCGTACGTGTTGTGTGCGTGCGAGGCCACCTTATCATCCGTTTAGCACCACCAGCTGACCTGAAGCTCGACTTACCCGCCGCTGGGTTTAAGCATAGCCTCCCGCATCTCTGGACTCGGGGACCAGCCACAAGGTGCCCCACTAAGCAGTGACCCCTGAGGTTCACAGACAGACCACCTGTCCGCTGCAGCATCGAAGGCGGACCCGGCACCCGCAGCGGGGTGCGAGGCCTCCCGGGTCGCCGGGCGGCGGGCCACTGACCGGGGTAGTTCTCGTCGGGCGACAGCTCGGCGGCGCCACAGCCGGCCTCCTGGCGCGCCAGCTCCAGCTCCTGGAAGTACCGCTTCCTGGCGCGCTGCTCCAGCAGGCGGCGCCGACTCTGGCAAGCGGAACAGCACGTCAGCGGACACTTGAGAAACACTGAAAGTTGTCTAAATCCACTGAGATAACTGTCTCAGTGGGCAATAGCTGTGCAAAACTTGACATAAAACTTGTGGAGTGCCTTTTCACATAATAATCCATGACATGGACCAACAAGTGAAAATCCGTGTAGCATTACACACAGCATGACAAAACATGAGACAAGGAAAAGGTATAACACAACTACTGTTCGCATGAAATATTTATGGTATGGGTACATACCTTTTTCTTGGTTGGTGGCAGGGAAATGGGTACATCTGGCGGAGTCTTGACAGCAGCATCCATATAAAGTTTCCTCTTGGTCACCAGCTCCTTCAGCAGGTCGTCCATATATGTCTGCCTCCATACCCTGCAGCATGTCAACACAAACACCATGTACAGTCCACCATGAGGACCACAGCCCACACAACACAGATGTTGGCTTGGCAGAGATCATTGTGCGAACCAAAAGCAGCTCCACTGGCATTACCTTGTGAGCCAGGCCGTCACTCTGATAGCTTAAGATACGGATTTGACCACACGGATGGTGCCACCAACAGAAACACATTCTGCACCAACTTCTAAGTCAGCTGACACTAAAAGCACACACACAGCCCGTGAAGCCTAACGGCAGCTGTCAGCTCAGGGCTGGCCGCTGGCCCGGCCTGGCGTCACGTGCGGGCCTCACTTGGCGTCGTGCGCCTGGGTCTCGGCGGTGAGGCGGCGCAGCGAGTGGATCTCGTCCGTCAGGTGGCCGTCGTGCAGACTGCGGAAGAACTGGTCCAGCGGGTTGCCGAACTGGAAGTTCTCGCCGGCGAACAGGCGACGCACCGTCTCGTCCTGCTCCTTGCCGGCGTCATCCCCGGAAAATGTCGGCAGGAAGGTCTGTGGGACAATGCTTATTTCAGCTATGCTCAAAGAAAGCCTGCGCGGGTCTCCAATGTTCACTGCTGCTGCTGGCTGGTATTAGCTACAAGACAAACGGTAGTAAGCAGCGGCACGGCAGATTACACACCCAACACCAGAAGGCCAAATCGTTGAGCCCGCCGCTGGCTCTGGCCGCACGGACACAGACAGTGCTCCAGCACATCTCCACCGTATGCAGCCGCCCCGCTGCTCCCGGGCCCACTTCCCCTGCGGCTCGGCGAGGGCCTCCGGCGCCCGCGGGGGGGGGGGGGGCGTACCCGCAGGTGCCGGCGCTGCGGCTCCGAGAGCGCGTCCCAGGCGGTCTGGCTGAGCACGGCGTCGAAGGCAGGCCGCCGCTCGCAGATGGCCGGCGGCACGGGCACCAGCTCGCCGTTCAGCCGCAGCTGCTCGGCCGCCGCCTCCCACGAGGCCATCGCTAGCCCGCGTCCGCCGGCGCCGCCGCCTGCCGCCCACCGCCACACGGTCAAGGTCAGGGTCACGCTCACGCTCACGGCTCCAGACGAGACGAGGGTGGCATGGCCGCGCGGCAGAAGCACCGTGGTGCAGGAAAATATGTCAGCTCTTACCAACATTGCTCTGTGTTTATAAAAACAAGCCAATGATGATGAAACTGTGTGATGGGGCAACAAATGCATAAAACTTTCACATGAGTTCCCTTACAGAGCAAGGCCCACCACAACCATATCTCACTGAGTGTCTGAACACAAAATCCTGCTAAAATAACCACTACAATGAGGTAACCTTGTCATGACCTATGCCATGTACAGGTTCACAAATGTCCCAAATGTGGTGAAAACTATGACAAATCAGCCACTAAAAACTTTGAATATACCGGTTGGCAGTTTCAAAGCCATTCCAGTATTAAACATCAGTCTTGGCTGGGTTAGTGTACCAGTCTAAGCCAGGCACAAAGACACATGTGCACAGCAGGTTTGTGTAAAAGTCATGAGGAAATCAGTGTGGCACACAGTTGCTGGCTTCACATTGAAGTGTGAGGTAGAGCAGGTTAAAAAAACAAACAGGCAGATGTACCAGAAGTTCTACCAAGTCTGGGATGGTCATTTTCTATTATTTTCCACTCATCACCTTGACAGTGATGCAATTCCAGAGATTGGGGCTCCGGCCTTGCCCCCCCCCCCTCCCCACACACACACACTAGAAGCTAACATAACTATGCACATGCATCCATTTATTTGTTGTATTTAAATGTGGGCATATTGGTGTGAAACCAGATTGAATGGCAAAGCCCACAAAGCGGAAGGAGGACCTGTCCTCCAGTGAAGGCAAGACCATGCTGCACTTAGGGTAAGGACTATCCACTTTCACACTGAAACTGTCAGCACTTAAACACTGCTTTTTGACACATAACTGTGGCATTGACTACAAAGGAGCATTGTCACATCATCTTAACTGTGAAAAAACTTGCACAATGCCAGCCATTGTCAACCACAACTGCCAGAGCAACCATGGGACCTTATCATGAGAGGATATACTCTATGTTTACATCTTCCTTATGCTTTACCATGCAGTTCTTACAGGTTATTGTATGATGATGATCTGGCTATACTGATCTAGTATAGGGCTATACTGATGATGATCTGGCTATACTGATCTGGCTATACTGAAGCATTTGCCCTGCTGTAGAATAGGACTACTGCTTATATATTACATGACAACTATGCCTGCATCTGCGGCTGGAAAAATGCAAGCTATGCTCATGTATTTTTATCTTAGATCTGTAACTGAAGGCTTAGTATCTGACTGGAACTGGGTCATAGGTGAAGTGAAGAAGCACAGTAGTGCAATCAATAAGTAAAGCATTTGAAAGCATGATAAGGTATGTGCTATTCTGGCTTGATAAAAATGGATGAATTTTCAGTTTGGTCTTTGGCAAAAGTAAACATTTTCATTACTCAAGCACACAAACATTAGTGCACCAACTGCACAATCGAATTTTCAGTTTGGTCTTTGGCAAAAGTAAACATTTTCATTACTCAAGCACACAAACATTAGTGCACCAACTGCACAATCATTTATAATGGATATGATGTATCAGAGTGGTGCAACTTTCAGCAATGGTGGTCATCAGCCTTTGATAGTACCAATCAAAGTTGAGCACCCCAGATGACCTAAAAACCATCAGTAGTTAATTATTCATGAAGCTGGGTGTACATCAAAGGTCAGACACTCAAAGCTGAGCACCCCAGATGACCAAAAACCATCAGTAGTTAATTATTCATGAAGTTGGGTGCATATCAAAGGTCAGAAACACACTGAGATAATGAGACAGAATAACTTAACAGCCTGAGCACACTCTTGAATGCCAAGCAATCTCCTGTGCACAAATATTGGGCAGAAAACCACACAGAAATATCTATTACAGGTCAGCAACAACATATCAGAAACGGCACTGTCAGGAATTAGGGACAAACTGGGCATTATGACGCTTCAGCATCCAATTGCTGACCGTAAAAACAGAAAAAACCGAAGCAAATCAGCAATGTCCTGAGTTGTGGGTCTCGGGTGCGTAGGCAAGAAACACGTATTTATGCTTACGGACTGAAATACATCCACCTATCGCGCATCGCGCCCATTTAACAAATAATGCCATCCCTCTCTCATGGTGCGAATTCATAAATTCAGCGCCCGAACAGTTCTCAAAATTTTCTGAGCTAGATGAAAAGTTATTTCGTCAATTACCTTTCTCAACGGCCGGCCGCGCCAGATTGGCACCATTGGGTAAAATTGCATCTGCGAAAACACGAAGGGAGCAGACATTTTGGCAGCACTGCCAAAAACCGTAATATAAAACGGCACTCGGGCTGTGTTTAGGCGAAATTCAATTCGATAGACGACGCCTGTGTTCCAGGATTCTCGCGGAAACGTATTTGGATACCACTAATATGATGCTTTTGCTGAAACTAGTTTTCTTACACCACGCGAGGATTATGCGTGACGCTCACAGGCGGTCGCGCGTGCGATAAATGTGCGCGGATCTGACGGGAATGGGGCCCCGGACATTGGATAAAGCATTATTGCTGTATGGCCTTGCCTTGGACTGTCGAGTGCGTCATCTGCCATTCTTTTCTCATGCAGTGCTTTCCGCATGCCCAAGAAACCCCTTTTTTCCATGGCAAACAGCGTGCGCCAGCCATGAATGGGCGAGATTTCCTGGCGGGGTCCGTCCGAGCGGTGGCGCATAGCCCAGGCGTCCAGGTTCAGGCGTCCTTGTGCAGGCGAATTTTCAGCAAACGCGTCCCAGGAGAACGTAGTTTTGCCCCACCATTATTCACCCTCCTTCAACCCATAGTTATGAAATGACCTTTTTTGGCCGAAAGAGCTCTCGTCCGAACCAAACAAAATGTGCACTTCACCCGCCCCTGTCTTCCCATTCTCACTTCATCCCGCATCCTCGCGACGTTCCTCTCATCCAGTGCAAGCTGTATGCGCCAGCCATGGGTGGGATTAAGTGCTCCTGATGGGAGCCCCACCTGAGCGCCGAGCACATATCCCAATGAAGGGTCCTGGTGCGGGTCTCGGCGGAGGATTCGGGTCCACGTAGTTTTGTCGGGTCATTATCCACCCCCCTTCATCCCGCCACATCCCTGAAATGGTCATTATTCGGTTAAAGAGCTCGAATCCAAACTAAACCACAATATGCATCTCAGCGGGATCGCCAGTGACGGCGTATCCCAGTTAGTTACGTGAGCATTACAGCTTAATAGCGGGACCCCTTTTTCCATGGGCTTCTGGCGCCCTGCCTATTTCATGAGGCAAAATTTTCCTTATGGGGTGGCATAGCCCATCGATGTTTCGAACGATGGACTGTTGCCGTATGCTGTTGCCGTGTGTCGTGTCACCGGTTCGAGAAGCTGGTTACCATAGCGCCTGCGTGGTTCACAATTTTGGTTCCTGGATTCCACTGGTCATGTCGGTAAAACGACGCCTGGGATCCTGGGTTCCACTGGTTCTTTCACTTAACTTAGACAGTGAATTATCAAACTCTCTCCGGCCAATTTACTTATTATTAATGGCTGAGCCTCCTGGTGAATTCCTTGACTCGTGGTACACTGGAACTTCATTCCGGGAATATCAACCGTGTTTGGGCTTTTCATGTCTGGCTACCAACACATTGATTAGGTGAATAAATTCGGAATAGTTAACATTTGTTCTTTCAACCATGATAAAAGTATTTAAGAATTGACAATATTTTACGTACACTGTTACAATGTCACAAGAAAAAGAGACATCCACCTATAAATTCTAACGATTACATGACAATGCACGTAACGCTAATCACGTTCGCGAATGTTCATAGCAAACGTCCACATACTGGAAAATGCGCGGGTCTTTTAGACAGCTAGATATTCGTAACCCAGATGCTTGTAAGTGGCTATGTAAGCATGCGCAAAAGTTCGTTTCGAAAACGTCCGTAACCAAGATGTTCGTATCCAAGATGTTTGTATCGAAGACGTTTGCATTTGTTTATGTTCGTATCTGCAAACGTTCGTGACGCAAATGTTCGTAAACGTAATTACGTTATTTAAAGTCAGAATACAGGTCCTTCTGTCATATATTCCTTATCTCAGCCCTGCTCTCGTCCGCCGTCGGCGGCTTCTGTCCTGACCCGGTTATTCTCCGCAGGGCTGACTGGGAGCTGATCGTATGGCTGCTTTGCTGCATATTCATCGATCAGCATTGCTACTTATTGGTGTGTAAAACATATACTGGACACGTGCAATAATTTTTTAAAATTATCTTCCCTTACACAATACCACCGACAACAAAACTTCGAAAAGCTACCTGCCTTAGGCATGAGTTGGTCCAACGGACATTCAATTGCCCCTCATTCAACATAGCCGTCTTAATCTACTTTTGTATGTAGGCACGGGCGTAGCCAGAGCCTTACCAAGTGCGCACGGGGTTGAAAAAAGCGCTCTGATGATGGCTTCCCCCCTCCAAAAGAATCGTCGTATACAGTTAATTTGGAAACAAGGGACTTGGTTTTCTTCGTTTTATTGTTAGTTTTACCTTAACAGAAACCAGGCGCTGCCGCAAGATCAGTGCTGTTAGCATTTTGAAGTTAATGAACTGCAGAACTCAGGCGTTGAACGACTGGAATAAATCATCAGTGCTCTTGATTTACAATTCTTCAGTGAACTCTTTCTAAACCGATAGGATTCAGAAGCATTATCGACATTCTTTATCCTGGTTTAACAAAGATATTAAGGAGCTCACTAAGGTAGAGAGTGGATGGAACTCGGTCAACACTGTCTTAACATGGCTGAGCCATGCTAAGACATTTTCTGAAATTTTGCATTTTCCAGTCAGAATCGATTAGTGATCCAAATAATAGTTTTGAACATGCGCGCTCGCAAATCTAAGCAACAAAATCATCGACGCCAGGCGTTGC